AACCCTGCTGCTGCCATGATCTCACTGCTCCTGTAACCTGCATTTGCTGGAGGAAAGCCAGCACAGGGATATATGTTTATGCCTTCTGCTGCACAAGCAAAATCTGTAGTAGAGGTGCAAGCTGAATGAACTATGAATCTTCAACCTTTCTTGCAGCAAAGGCAAGATCTAGCTCTTCCAGATCAAAGGGCACTATGAAAAATAAAACTGACAGGTTTTCCCATTTGGCCATTCAAAAGACAGCAATCAAGAGAGAACACAACCCAATTCTCAGGTTTTTAAAACCTCTAGAGTCTGAACTGAAACCAGGCACCAACACTGTGCTGGGTCTCTGTGTGAGGGAGTAGAAAGTAGAGCCCAAGACCTGGTTCTACTGCCCAGCCAACCAGGTCCCGTGCCTGGTGCCAGGTTCTTCTGCTGCCTCATTCACCTCACAGATTAAACAACAGTTTCTGCTTTAACTCTTTGGAAGCATGTAATATATGAGCAGACTGGCACAGGTTTCACAGCCTCTGAAAACCCTGTTGCTATTTATTTCAACAGAAGCACAAAAGATTCCAGATTCTCCTGACAGCAACCCATGTATCTGTAATTCTGTAGGCTTCAGTCTGCCCCGAGCCTAGCACTTTGATTGATTTTGCACATAAAGTAGGGCTCCAAAACTGATGGAGTATGTTCTCTCTCTTTCATCTCCTGCCCAATACTTCCCACATGTTGCTCCCATCTGCCTTAGGGAGGCCAAGCTCTACCATGTCACCTCTGTTTCTTATTGCTCATAGCTTCTCATTATGTTTTTGCCTCCCTGTCACATGAAGGGGGAGGAGTGTCTGATCCACGCTAGGCCAGCTCCTTAGCACAGACAGAAAAGTCAGAACTAGTACCATGTAGCGCTCTCTCTAGGTGGGTACCTTTCTAATGCTGCCCAGGTAAACCCACTAATAGCATTTTTATAGCAATAAAAGCTAACTTCACATTAACTGACATGCAGAAATTGGACAGATTACCAAATAAGGACACACACTTTTATCAAGTACTTTCAAGCACAAGCCTGAGTGTGCAGAATCAGTCCAAGACAGGTAGGTCTCTCATGCAACAGCTGAAGCTGGATATGTTGCATGAAAAGTGAGCGTGTAGAGCTAATAACAGTAAGTAAATCTTCCATATTAAGCATATCAAGATAATAAACACAGGAGAGCCTGACTCATTTTTGAGGTTTCTTGCACAGAGTATAGTGCTAGGATTGCGCACCAACTTAAGTGTTCCTGTGACACAAATATTGCTTGGAAGTACCTAGCTCCAGCAGCCATCAGCTGCTGAAAGAGTCATAATTAGCTAGGAGTAAATACGATACTGTGCCAGGTTATGCTCAGAAAGTGCAAAGAGCATTCCTAAAGCAGAGCTCAGCAAGAGTGATGAATGTAGGTCTGCATCAGTTAAAAGTGTCACTTGGAAAAAGTGAAACAAAAAAGTGCTTAATGAATGGTGTTAGAATAAGCTAGTTCGCAAAACTGAGAATTTCACTAGTGGGAAATTTAACTGGGAACCGAAAATCAGCTAAATTAAATGAAAATGTCCATGTGGAAGATGTAGAATAGGCTGAATTTTCAGGAGAAGGCAGGAATAAAGTGGATTATTGGATGCCTTACCTCCATTCATATTGGATCATTTACCTTCATAGGATAGAGGACTGTGGCAGTTTACAAGAGGTGAAAAGAGGGGAAAAGAAACTCATGGAATTCCAGAATTTGAAATTTGGCTTTGATTTATCTTTTTATGGAGAAAGATTAAATAAATTTCAGCTACAAATATTGAAACCCGCACACTCCAATAGCATGTAAGAACTCAAATTTTAGAAAATACATTTAGGATATCACAGGAAACATTGATTTTCTTCATTTTGAGTAACAGAAACTGGATTTCAAACCCTTTAGTATTAAGTCCATTTTCCACACACATTTACAACCTTTAATACCTTTGTTAACAAAAGGTCTTTGAAAAAAACAAACCTCTCCCTATCATGGGCCACTTTGAAATGTTAAATGAGCAATGGTACTCAAAAATTGACTGATATTGTAAACATTGTAAAACTCCTATACTGCTAAGTGAGTGAGCTCAGTGTTATTTATATTCACTTGCTTTGGCGTCTAACTTTAGGTGATTCAAGTGGTGGCAGACTGCAATACAAAATGGATTTTGCTCTTGATTATAAATGCAATGCACAAATATGTTTCCGACACCTTTTTATTTTTATATATAAACTTAAGTAGATAAGTGTCTCGTCATTGTGCTAATTTACATATCAGCAGTTTTCTTTTTTTTTAGTGACAAGTAGTAATATTATTAAGCTGTACTTTACACTGTACTAATACAGCTGTATTAAAATACTGTCTTATGAAGGAGGATACAGGCAAAGGCTATTGCATCTTTATACAAACTATATAAAGAAAAAGTAAACATTACTCCTCCCTTCAGCCTTTTTAAAGGCAAAGGAAGGCCAAAACACATCATTAGATCACCTGATCAGACAGAATTTGGGGATAATTAACAGGAGTTAATTAACCTACAAGCTTTGTTCCATCAGTGCTTTACTTAGATTTCAAGTTCTCCTCAACAGGAATCAGCATCAGAAAACACATATGGTGATTGTCCTTAAGTTCTTCAAATATTTCTCTCTATTCCCCTTTCATTAAAAAAAAAAAATTATACATAGGTAATCTTTAAAATAGAAGGCATTGCTAATGAAGTACCTGCGCTATTTGATATACTTTTAAGCGATCAGAAAAAGTAGTAAATAACAAGTGATAAAATCTGAAAAAAATGGTACAGAATTACTGAGGTATTAACAAGAAAGACAAATCACAAGAGGCAGGGTACCCAGGATGAAGGCAGAGAAAATTCAGCTTGCACAAAAACAACAACAAAAAAAAATCTACATGAAGAATAAAAGCTAGTACGCAATAGTACACAAAAAAGTGCATAATATTCAGTTCTACATTAGCAATTAACATTCACAAAAGTGAAATCACTCTGGTAACTTGACAAGACATAGCTCAGTGTTGAGAAGCAATTAAAAGCAAAAATAGAAATACAGGAATTATTCAGATCATGGAAAGGAGGGGAAAAAAAGTGATTATATCACCATATAATGCAGAGTGCATCCACATCCTGAATCCTGCACTGAGTATCAGTCTTCACATTTCAAAAGAGTAACAACAACATAATCTAGCCCATGGCTCAGGCATTTTTTGATCCCACGTGCCTATATAAAATCTAATCTGTAACTATAGATTCTGTCATAGAGAATATAATCTATAAAAGAATATTGAATCAAATTAATAGAAGAAGCTATGATAATCTAGAGAGTCATCAGTTGCTTTCTTTGCCCGGTTATCACCGCGAATAAAGGGTTAATTAGGTCCAAATAATACCATCAGCTACACCTATGGAAATTCTTATGCGACTGATTTTTCAAGATTCACTCAAAGTAGCAAGCTATCCTGCGTATCTGCTAGAACTGCAGTAAGCTACCTCATATCAACCTATTTTTACCATTACTTATAAGTTACCACTAACACATACACATCTGATAGCCTGCAATTTCAATGGAAAGCGAAGTGCACTTTGTCATATTCCACAACAGCAGCTCAGTTAGAAGTATCCTGCTACACAGGATCCTGTCTTGAACTGTGTGTGAAATTTTCCTCTTACGGTTACAAAGCAAAATCCCATCTTAATGGAAGAAGGCACAAAGAATCTCCCTTGACTTCTAGGGCAAGAATGTAAGAGAGTTGAGCAGGATTCCAACTAGCTGCTTACCAAAAAAAAAAAAAAAAAAAAAAGGTGTGGGAGGAGGCACTCAACCACAATTAACCACCATCACCCTAGGTCAAGTAAGGTCACTGCTTCTTTCCCCCTCTTGGAACAGGACTGTGTACATGACAGTCCGGTATACTTGTTTGTTCTGTCAGCCGCACAGTCCCTGGGCCACCCTCCCCCTTCCATTCTCTGCTCTACTCTGTAATATATCCCCTGCAGCAAGGATCTAAATGAAAACCGACCTTGAAAGAACCCCGATTGCCAGCAAAGCAACGGTGACCCAAAGGCAGGTTTCTACAGATGTTTCACTTGAGTGAGGCAGCTTTCAAAGCTGCATATAAAGGAAATCCAGGAGACAGGGAGGCAGCAGAAGGCACCCACATATTTATATATTATCAACATCAGGAGCTAACAGAAATAACAGAAAGAAAACATGAAACGTAAGCTAGTTCTGATAGTCATATTTAAATCTCCCTGCTTTTTAATATAGCTAAGGGGGCACTTAAAGCTGTCAACAATCCTTGCAATAATCAGCAGTCAAAATCAGATCACAAGATACTTTAATCATCTCCTTAAACTCATCTAAATCTCATAAGATAATTTCTTAGAACTACTTTTAGGAATAAAAAGAAGCATTTCGAGTTTGTGGAACTTTTGACACAAACAACTCTCGGGCAAAACTTGACTACCTACATAATAGCTTAACATAGGGTTTTATAACAGCTTCTTTGAAGGGAAGCTAACAGATGTGTCAACTGAAGCACATAGCACAGAAGTGCACGTCTTATGAAGTTAACCTGGAGACAGAGGAAGTCAGTGCAAACTCTTCACCTGAAATATTCTTTCTACTGTTCAAAATACACACTGTAAACGTGTTGCATTATACCCTCTTCCCCTAGGAAACACAAGAGATGCATGTTACTCAAAAAGACGAGCTTTCTAGCAGTCAGCTTACTTCTGGTATCCCTCATATGCTTTGTATTGCATTTGTATCTACCATAACAGGAAGTGCGCGTGCGCGCGCGCACACACACCCACCCACCCACCCACCCCCTGTGGAAATGCAAGTACACAGCTGGGGAAAATATGGGAAAGGATTAAAGTGAAAAAAATCATTAGGAATGACATCATCTTACCAATCTAAAGAATATGGCTCAACAGCAATTCACACAAAGCCTCAGGTATTTACTTTGCAACTTTATTTCTTTATAAGTTATTGGTATAAAGTTTAATATCTAATTATACAGGAATCTGGGGACTTTAAAGGAAGCTTATTTTGTCGTTTTTAGTGTCTTTTGCCATTTGGTCCTCAAACATGTTTTAAGAGGACTTAACATTATATATGTACCTGTCAGATTTCTGTACAAAAACATTTTAAGCTTTTGTTTTGCTTTTCTGAGTAGGATGTACAAATCATGCAGACAATATAACGGTCAAGGAATTATTTCCCTCTTTAAACTAAGGCAATTAAAAAAAACCTATGAATATCAATCGAGTAGTTTGAAAGAGTAAAAAGGCTTCCTCAATGCTTATTTATTCTTTGAACAAATACCTACGCTCAGTAAGACACACTTTCTTGGAATTATCATTGATTTGACTGCTGTCTGTATTGAAAAGACAGCAATTGTCAGAGACAGTATTAAATTATGTACATTTTATAGTGTTACTAACCCATCCACTTTTGAATATGAACTTGTCAGCACTAAGCATTGTGTAAAACCACATGCAAAAACTGCCATAAAAATTTTAAATAGAACCAAATTGGCAAGTTTCTGGAAAGGATATTTTCAATGTTAAAAAAAATATACTGTATATTAAAATGAGCACTTCAAGTAACTTAAATATCTTTAGCAAACATGTCCAGCAAGAGACTCTGTAAAAGAAATTGTTCTTAGAACAAAAAGCTAATGAATGGCTATTTAGATACTAATTTCTCAACACAGTGGTGAGTCTGTGTGAAACAATTTGTAATCTAAATAGAGTCCATCACACTGTTAAAAAAAAACATACATTAAGCAGGACTGATTAACTACTGCATTTCTGTATTTACAAAAGTGCTTAGCATAACAAAATTACCTAAAAAAATATAAACTTTACTGATATCATTTGGTTCTACATGTACTCCTAGATCTGCACTTGGAGAAAAATAGTATTTACATTGCTAGATTTAGACAAGTTTCCTATTATTTTTAAAGAAATTAACAAAAATCCCCACACGAATGAACCCCTATGCTAGTCAACTCATTCCACCTGGCTCACCAAAAATAGAGCAGATGTAAATCCTGAAATACTGAGCAATACAAATAACTTTAGCCATTGTCTGTGGCATTAGACCCTAACACAGGCTGCCGGCAAATTGGGCAAGTGGAATTTTCTGAAAGCCAGCGATCAATACAATGAATATGAAACTCATGCATGCAAGGTAACTGCCTTAGCTTATTTCCTGTTACATATTCATTAATGCAAACACTACATGTTTTACTTATTTCATTCTCGGTGTTAATATCCCCATAGTTCCGGGTTGAAAGATTGTCAATCTGTTCTTTGGTTAGACCTCTTAAACGCTCATCATCATCATCTTCATTCAGCAAGAAGAAGTGAGCTAGTCGAAGAATAGGCAGCGTTCCATTTTCCACTAGGTTGTTAGCATCTTGAGACTGTCTGTTATCTTGACTTTCATTATTGCGACCATAACGTTGAGTGTCATCACTCTGTCCATTTGCTTCACTACTGCCTTCTACAGCACGCCCATTTCTAGAAGAAATCTCTCTTGGATCACTGCTATTGCTCGCTGAATTTGAGTTGTTCTGCTCTGCCTGCACATCTGACAAGTGATGACCACCTCTTTGCAATTCTGAGCTGGATTCTGTCTCCATTAAAGAACTCAGTTCTCCAAAGCCTGTCATAATTTGTCGAAGAATTGATCGAAGAGCCACTGATGAAGGTTCACCAAGTCCAGTTTCTGAAATCCGCCGAAGAGGTATCCGTATAGTGCTAACGTAGGTCCGAATACCTGCACGTTCTGATCGTGATATCGTACGTCGAAATCCCCCACTGTCACTTTCAAAAGTGACAGTGTTTTCTGCCATTCCTACTCTAGAACGAGTTCTACTAGCGATACTGTCCCGATCTCTGTTTTCTCCAGGGCGAATTCTTCTCACCTGAAGATCTAATGTAATTGTGGGATGCCTTCTAACAGCAGCTATTGGCCTACTAGATTCCTCCTCTTCCAAAGTTATTCCCAAGGATGATGCTGCACCGGAAAGCTGAGGAGTCTGAGCGTTACCTCTTGCTTGCTCTTCAGCAGGCTGTGGAGAAAGCTGCAGTGTTTGTCTTCTACTTCTATTGATTTGCTGTGCACTTCTGTCTTGCCGCTGCCCGTGCTCCTCAGAACGAACGTCATCTTGTCTTTGCAGCGGAGAGCGGCTTCGGCTGCTCAAAGTAGACCTCAACCGTAGAATTTCTAGTCTTTGGTTTGTACTCATCCGAACATTAGCTCTAGCTCTACCTCTTGGAAGTCCTGTAGAAGTACCTCTTTCTGGCATTTCTCTTTGTCCACCAGTAGTTGTAGAACTATTACGTACAGTAGTTGTTCTAGGAAGGCCCGACGACTCCCTAGTTCTACTTCTGAGCCTCCCTGAAACTGGGTGAGAGGCTGCTCCAGAGCTTTGTGTCACTGAGCTTCTTACAGACCTGGTCCTCGCAGTGCTTGAAGCATCACTGTTTGCCTCTCTTGAGGCCCTGCTCCTTGTTCGTGTGGTTACTGGACTGGCAGCTCTTTGATGTCTTCTTTCTAAATACGTTCTGCTACTATCTGTACCCGCATACTCTTCACCTGCGGTTTCAAAACTGTTATGTTCATGATTTATGTTGATTTCAAGACTAAATCGGAATTCCCCACTGTTCGGATTTGTTCGACTCACAGCTCTCCAGGTTTGGTTCCCACTCTGTCCACTGCGAGTGGCGTTCCCCGTGCGACGAAATGTGTTCAGCCATTCAAGCAAAGAGTCACCATTTGAGTTTTCTCCAAGAACATCAGAATCTAAAAGAAATAAACGAAGAATTGTTTTCTAATGTTCATACAAAAGCACACTTACCATACTATGATGAATTCCAAATCCTCCATGCTGAGCCTTGACTTCAGAAGTTTTACAGCAACAGGGCAGATACATAGCTATGCTAACACAATTTGCTGAAAAAATGCTGTACATAAGTGTCAGCAAAATGATCAGCTGAGCCCAGAATTTTAGTCTCGCCAGCAGACACACAGAGAAGAGAATATGTCCGCTCAGCCTCTTCTGAGAAAGTGTTCAGAAGTAGGTGGCGCATTCAAAATCAGTTGGTTGCATTTGTCCAGTGTCTGTGCCTTGAGTTATTGATTTGAGAGTATCCTAGTAATCCAATTAAGTTAAAGCAAGGAAGATTATGATATATTTTATCTTGTTTTAGAGAGAATTTTCAAAAATTTTTCCTACAGGCAGGGGAGTAAGTGATGCATGGTTTTCTCTCTGCAGATTTGTTCTCTATGTGCTATTGTACTCATTCTCTATTGCAATACCCTCAGCTCTATTCCCAACTCTCCTCCAACTGCTCCCTCAGCTACCAGCTCAATAATAGGGACCATTACTGTGGTTAGTTCTGAACTATATATATGAGGAAAACCAAACAGAAGAGAACATGGTCAAGATCACAGCAAAGGCTCTCCCTTGAAGGGAGCGTTACTTAAGGTCTCTACACTGTACCAGCTTTCACAAAACCTGTAAGAATTTTGATATCTTGATTTCCGAGACATCTATTTCTCTACTGAATCTGACTGGAACTTGCCAAATGATCAAAAAATATTGCTGGGGAAGAAAAGATAGACAGCACAGATACACAAAACCTCACTCCACTAAAACAAACTGAAACAAAACAAGAACAACAGAACAGCTAAAGAAAGGGTTTGCTGTTTTCCATTTAGCCTTTTTTCCTTTCTAACTTCTTTAGTACTCACCAAAGCCTTCTAAAAAAGAAAAAATAAAATTATCCTTGTGCAATTAGATTTACTAGCAAAGAGGAATCAGGAAAGGAAGAGAAGATAATTTGTGGCCGATGTAAATCAGTTCTTGTGAAGTATTTCAAGGTGTTTGTGTCTCATTAGGGAATGTCTCAAAACACGAAAATGTTCCACAGAGACAGGAAGTAAAAAAGACTTGAAAAGGACGGTACTTAAGTTGTTGAGCAGTTCCCTTAAATGCCTGTACAGAACAACAATATTTACCTATCGCATGCTATGTATAAATATGAAGGAAGAACATTTACCTCCAGCAGTTCTGCCTTCACTGTCTCTGTTTTCGGGATCAGTTTCTGATGCAAGATGCTCCTTAGCCCCCTCCAAACGTTGCTGCAACTCTTCTGCTGTTATTTCCCCTGAAATAATTTACATTTTGATGTTGTCAGACAATACATTTTATTGGCTCAAAGCCATGCAGAAATGAAAGTATTTTCTATCTTGAAAGGAAAACGTTCAGAAATAAAGTAAAATTAATGAAATCTGAAAGAAAACAGAAATAGTGTGAGACTAACATAGGCTCCCAGCTAACATAGAAGGTAGATACTGGGGAGAAAAAGGATGCTAACATGCACGTCAAGAGCACGACAACTTCCAACAACAACTCAGAAGCCTAAAAAACTGCCACATGTCAGAAGCAGCACTTTAATATTACAGATATTAATTACTTGGATTGGGATGTTATCTATATGCTGAGGGGTTGCGGTCAAAGGAGTTATATTTTTACTCACAGCTTTAGTATCTCTTTTAAGTTGACAAATTTTATCAGGTAGCATCAACTTTGCTGGGAAAGCAAGTCTTTTATTTTTTTCCCCTCCTTTCTACAAAACCACAGAATCCAGGCTTCTTGAGTCACCCCACCACATGTGGTACCCAACAGCAGTTGCATTAATTCACATTTGCAATTGTGAATTGATCTTTTCTGCGGTTTTCAGCATACTGTCTTTTCTGCTGAAAGTATCCACAGGAGTGAAAGCATCTTACCAGGAGTGCCAAGCAGGTTGCGGTCTCTCATTAACCTGTAGTCTTCCTCATTGAGTTCGTTAATGAACTGGTAATATGCCTCCTCTCTACTGAGGCGCTCTAGCTGTCGTTGTCTCTCATCTTCACCATAGCTGTGCTCTCGTGAAGATGGCTGATCACTGCCATTCCCTGCATGGTGTCGAGAGCGATCCATAGCGATAATGCCAAGCCGTCCTGAACACAACCAGGTTAGAGCGCACACTAATTACAGTAAGAAATAAGTTTTCAGCATTTTCAATTAACTTAGTATATTAATAAATAGCAGAAGATGATTAGGATGAACCAAACTGTGTTATTTGCCAAGTCAGCTCACCAGTGTAGTTTATTATGCAAATATTTTGCTTCTAGCCTGTTCAAAAACAGGCAGAACTCCCTTTCTCTCATTGCAAGGGCTTACCAGTTGGTACACCAACTTCAAAAAAAAAACTCAGCAATGACTTATTTTTTTCTTAGCCAAATAAGAACATCTCAGAAAATTAAAGGAATAAGGTGAAACCTATTTCCCCTCTCCTCAGTGAAATGCAACAGAACGGTACGGTATTTTAGAAGCTAAAATGTCACGGAAAACATTGTTCTGTAGTTACAGGACTGTAATTACCCAGTGCGCACTTTTGACAACCAAAATTACTACTTTAGAGAAAACTTCCACTTGAAACGTTTACTGATTATCAGGTAAGACTATAGTACTACTCCACATTTGAAAGATGCCCCTTCCATCACTCATGCAGCACAAACCCTCCAGATCCATTTTTTGTGGTACTGGCTCTATTATGACTTTTCTTGTATATTTTCCTTGCAATCTCTGATCCAAGTACTAGCTATCAAATGGGTACCCATCTCCAGTAAACTGGCCTAAAAGAGGAAGGGCCACACTTCTTCACTTTCTAAATATTTTACCAGCATGACCACACTATTAAAAGGCATGAATAACCCTCCAGTGGTAGAAAGAGGTATCATCTCTATTGATTTCTGTGCCATTACCAGCCAACCAGCTCTCAGACCAGTCTCCAACTTTTCTGTTTCCTAAAGAACACCTGTTTTTCAATGTTCCCATTGAAAGAAGAAATAAAGTCAAGTGTCATTCTTTTAATGGGGCTTCACTTTTAACAAGCCATCTGTAATATTTTTTAATAAGCCTATCTGTCTACCTGCTGAGGTAGACAGCTAAAAGAACAGATCACTTATCTAAAGAGATCACCAGGGCAAGAGAACCACCATATACACCATTCTGCTAAAACGCGGAGAGAAAGTTATGAGGTAAACCTATTTCCCTTTTTTGGTCATCCTGCCAACATATCAAAGTCACTTCTACTACTGTTATGGGGGGACACAACAGAACAACATTCTCAGTACACTTCCAGTCAGTAATTAGTCTTCACAGAAAAGCTGATGAGCCAACAAACAGACCAAACCAACTAACTATTAGACATGCATTCACTAAAGAGAAAGAGTGAATCTCATCAATGCTGCCAATATGCGATACGACAAATTAGAAAATTGAATTGCCAATAGCAGAAGCAGGCATACATTTAATATACCTTTCTCATGTTCTTTGTGGGATCCATTCGGATGCATCCTTGGTCTCCTCCTTTTCCTCCCCACATGCTACTTTTTTCTTCCCCTTAGGCAACCATATTTCTCAACACCCCTTCCCAAAGAATCACTTTCCTAATCAGTCTCCTGTATCCAATACGGTATCTCAATGCATCTGACACTTCCCTCCTAGTTCTTTAACTAACTTAAAAGACATCAAAACTGAATATCTCCCCTTTAAAACATTTTATACTGCCTATAATAGCTGGGTGCCCCCCTCGCCTCCAAGTACTATTGCTCTTGTTGCTCAGCCTCACAAGGTGTAGGTAATTGCTGACTTCCATTTCCCACAGTGCCTATGTTCAAATTGGGTCACTTCTTGTATTGCATTTCTAAACACAAAATTCTCATCCAGGTCTTTGCAACTGCACCCCCCACTTCACTCAACACTTAGGTAACACTAAGTTTGTTCTGATGACATTAGCACTTGACTGTTGTTATGAAAATGCCAAATCCACACAGCACTGAGTATTAAAGAAAGTGCCTCTGCCCCAAATGTCTTAGAACTTGAGACAAGTACCACAGAGAGGGGAAAAAGGTCAGGTAAAATAAGCTAGTTTCACATCAGATTGCTATTTACATAAAAGCCTGAAAACGACTAACTTTTTGCTAATTGCTATATAATAACCACAATTAGTTAACTGACTTTCTGGATACATCATATTGCTGCACAGAACAGTTCAGATACAAATTCTTAAGATGAAAAGTTCATCACATGTAGTCTCCCTTCATCTAAATAAAGGTTTTCTACTTTTCATCCACATAGAGCCTGAAAGATCTCTTCTCTACTTCAGGTTGTGTAGGTGGTAGAAAAAAAAATTACCGTTATGGTAGGATGATTAATCACACTCTTTAAATGACTCACTTAGAAATATCAAGAAGTGTGAAGTGTTCAGTTATCCCATCTGTTTAACATAACTACTACCCATTTTATTGTTATCAAACACCATCAAAATCAAGTGCTGTGGCACTTGAAATACTTCTGAGTATTGAAAGTTGAAGGGTATTAACTACTAAGATGCAAGATAAATGAAATCGAAATCCAGTTATGACTCAGAGTTATTCTTCCATTGTAAAGAAACAGGTGCCACATACCAAGGGTTTATCTACATTTTCTAGAATTTTCAGTCTAAGGCTAATTCCTTCAGCTCTTATTTTACAGTTCCTCCAGCCCACTCTCAAAGATCTACATTCATTTTTTATCAAAACAATATATACCTTATGCTTTTAGGTTCTGGCCTCTCTCCATGAATTCCTATCCACAATTCAATTAAGCATTCATTTTCTGAAAGACTACCACCTGATTGCAAGCAAGATGACAACTGAGTTTAGATGAGGAAACCTCCCCGACCGAAAGGACTACTTAGCATTTCTGTCACACTCCAGCCCCCAGGCGAGATGATCTCACCCAATTTGAAGGGGGGTGGGGTGGGGGGAGACAAAAAGCAGAGCCTGGGGGAGGAGGGGGAGGAAAGAGAGACAAAAAAAGAACCACAAGGCAATTAAAAACAGGCGGAAGGAAACCCAAAGCGAGCCAACCCTAAGGCCTGGGGCTACCCGCCTCCCTCCCCCCCACGCCCCCGGCCGGCAATAAGGCCCG